CAGTTCTTTAGTTTATGCACTATGTAACACTCTGAAATTTTAATTATCCAATCATAAGCAAAAACAATGTTTTCAGTAGAATGAATTTCCACTTCTACTTACACCTGCCAGCCAAAATGCTGCTAGTGGTATTGCTAACATGGGCTGAAGAGGAAAACCTAAATTTGAGCCGCGCTACTATGAGAGCTCGACCAGGGAGACTGAGTCCACCTGGCTGACCAACACGGATGCTGAGCCTCAGCAGCAGCTGTTGCCCGCCGCCGCCCCAGAGAGCGGCGACGCCAAGGCCGGCCTGAAGAGCCCGGGAAAACGTGGGGTAGAGGGCCGCCCTTCCACTGCCACTGCGGCTGGCTGCCTGGCGGATAGGATGCTCGGACTCCGCCGCCTCCCCCTTCCCTCTGTCTGAGCCTCCGAGCCGGAATGGGGTCCTAATCAGAAGGAGCAGCACTGCCGGGGTATTTATCCCAACCCTCCTTCCATGAATTTCTAATGTTGGATTTCCCCCCTTACCAGAGGGAGCCCCCTTGTGGAGTATTGTGAAGCTGTTACCATGGTAACAGTGTTAAGGCACAACAGGCTCTTAACAGAACAGACACCCCGAGGGATGTTAGGGAATCTGTTTTACAGTTTGGTTTCCTATCTATCTGACATATGCTTCATTTTGAGGCTATGTTTCCATTTTCTGCCAGAGCACATAAACTGAGTGTAATATTTTCTGAATTGGAGGAAAGCCCCTTTTTTACCCTTTTAGTTGTAGTTTCTCCTCCCTTGTTCTCTACCTGTCCCACATTCCTCTTTATTTTTCAGAAGCTGCCATTTTAGCAAAGGTTGCTCTTTAGAATTATTCTCTGTTGCCAAGCAACACCATCTTCCGCACAGCTTAGTATCCATACAAGCTGTCAGGGAAGAATATCTTCCTTGAGTAATAGCCATTGCAGGTGTCTAATTTGAATATGTTGATCTGAATTAAAACAGCGAGTCTTTACCATCTGGGTTCAGTCTTCATTTTTCACATTTATTTCCAGCATTTTAGAATTCATATCCTTGCTGGTATCTCAAGGCACCTAATGTCTCGGGGTAAAATAATCCAGGGAAATAATAACCAAGAAAACGGCACAGAAGACAACCTACTTCTGTTTAAAAGAAAGACACAATACAACATACCAAAACATTTAGATGGGCTGTTTCCACCTGAAACCTCAGATTAGCAGTAGAACCAATTACCCAGAAAGCTTGTATGAAAATGGCATTCCCGTGTGGGAATTTCCAGGGGAAACCAACTTAGCAAAGTTCAAAAAAAAACAACCAACCAACCTAGCTGGTTTATTCTTTTTGCTCCTCAATAGGCAGTGGCTCATAGGATCACAGAAAGGGAAGAAGCACCTTTTTGGTCATGCAGTCCAAGTCCTCACTTCTTGTGCCAGAATCCAAATTAAAGCATTTTTAACCTCTGCATGGATACATTCAATAAAAGAAAGCCAGCTATGCTCCTCAAAATTGTTGCAATTGTCAAAAAAACTCCTAAAGTTGGGAATTCTCCAACCCCACAATTTTGGTCTATGCTCTTGTCTATAATCTATAACAGTGATGTCTAACCTTTTTGTCCTTGCGTGCCAAAAGCGTGCACGTAACAGCATGCACGCACATGCCCACACCCATAATGCAATGCATGTGCGACATCCCCCCCCCTCCAAGCCCTGTTTTGGGCCTAGCAGGACTCCCTGAAGCCTCCTGGGACCAA